TCATCCCTTGGGAAAGAAGCAGTCATAGTTTGACATTCTGTGTCTGCCAGAAGTGGAAAGCTCCCCTCATTCCTGTAGTACTGCTATAATCCATCTGCAGAGCTTTCATTGGCTGGCACCAGGAAAGGCTGACTTTTGGCTCATTTGGTCCCTGAAAATATGCTGCATTTGCATTAATATTCCTAGAAAAATAGATTGCAAAACTTTTGGGAGAGGAAGCTAAATATACATTATGTTTGGGTACATGATGATTTGATGTACCTTTTTAAATTATTGTATGTTTCATTCAAAGAGTAAACTTGGACTTTTTATTGTGGCTTGTGGATTTTTTCTTTAGTGTTAAAAATAGCTTTTAAAGTTTGCTATGAAATACTCATTTTTTTATCTTGAATTCTACATGATTTTTGTGTAATATGTTTTCTAATGTGTATTCAACCATAAGAACTGCAGTTGTCAAAACAGAACTAAATGTGCAACTTGATTAATTCCAAATAAATAATTTCCTACTCTCTATAATTCTTTAATTGCACAAAGCCCTCATTTTTTTCCTTTTTAGTGACAAAGAGAGGACATCCTAAGAAACTATAAGGTATTATAAGGGTAGTTTTGTTTGTTTGTCTTCAGTGCTTATTTTGAAGGAGTATATGTCTGTAACAGGTTTTTTAAAGCAGGCTTCCTGTTATCCCAGTTGTGGGAAGAAGGGTGTTTGCCAACATGAAAATGTTAGAGAATAGTAAAGCCCTTGTTGCCTGCCCAGACAAATTCATGACCTGTTGGTCTCAAGGTTACAAGCATTTTTCCTTTGCGGTAACTTGTTTAAGGGCCAGTGGCATCTGGAATGCCAGGCTTAAATTCTATGTTCTAATAGGTAATACAAAATTAAAAGTGGAAATGAGGGATAACATCTTACAAATAAAACAACAATAGAGTGAATTCAATATGTTTACAGTCAGTAAAAGAAAAACTGAAATACTTGACCTTAAAGTTTAAGAGGTACAGTATTTTTTCCCCTAATTTTGACTATATATTAAAAAGTTGTGTAAGTTAGAATGAAGTAGTCCAACTTTATAAGTGGCTGGGGGCTGAATGGTTCCCCCCGTCTGCACTGTGCACCTGTGCTGCTGCCCCAGGTTCACTCTCAGCTCCCTGGGCCATGGGATGCTGAACTGCCCTGCTGCCAAGGACAAGTAGCAAAGGCCAGAAGAAGGAGGAGATCCTAGAAACTCCAGCTGCTGTTACAGACAGAACAATAGGAGGAGCAGCTATGACGGCCAGACAGGAGCTTGAAGGCTGCAGCTTAGCCCCTCGTGGTCGCATGCAGCCTGCAAGTGCCAATTGGAGAGCCCTGTGTTGGAAATTCGGTATCACTTAATTCAATATAAATATTTCTAGTTAGCTTATGTTTACTTTTAAAGTATTTTTACTAGACTATATCAAATATGGATTCCTACTTTTCCAGTGCCCCCTATTTTGAAGGATGTCACCATTTTTTGTAGCATGAGTTTATTGCCCGCTTGCTTACTATTTGCAGTCATTTGTTGGAAACTCATAATTTTGTAACAAAGCTATGGATGCTGTTGGACTCAGTCTCCCACTCTTACATCAGTGTTTAGACAGGTAATTATGGTGATACAAATATTTGTCTGGGATGATCCTGGCTTGAGTTTAGCCTGCTCTTTTCAGGACTTCTTGAGCCTCCTTCCAGCCCTATTATTTTTGTATGGCGCTGTGAATATAGTATTACTTCTCCAGTTTTAGGTGTAAAGAGGCATGTTGTACCTTTTTACCTGATTTACATGACTGTTTTCCTATTATTACAATGACCCAATAATATCTTTGTCTTGAAGGGGGTTTTTTGTAACTCTTATCTCCTGACAAATGCATTTTCCATAATTGGTTCACAAATCTGCAAATAATTTAAGCGATTCAACTCTGGAGTGAGAATATGCAGCATCAAGAGCCAGATGTGCACAGACTTTGGACACATTTTCTGCAGTAGATGTGACCTTAGGCACAGGCTTAACTGGTATATTGATTACTGCTGTTTACTAAGATTACTCAGAAGTAAACTAGCATGTTTTATAAGTATTTCAACTTGATTAGATTATTCGGCAGTAATGCATTCTGTTCTGGATTAAGCCAGGAAAAGGTATGCCTACAAAAACATTTCAGAGGCCTGGACCTTTGACTTTGAGAGCAGTGTGGGTGGCACTGTTTTGCTTAGTTGAAAATCTGACAACTTTCTCATATGTTAAAAGTGGAAGGCAGTGTCAGGTTTTTTAAAAATGGGTACCAACAACTATATTTCTTCATTACTTAACGCTACATCCACATTGGGCACATCTACATGAGACGCTAACTGCAAAGTAGTCTGATAATACTGTGCAGTAGCACAGCACAGCACAAACAGTGCTAATATACTACTGCACAGAATTATTAGGCTACTGCACAGTAGCATTACTAAAAAGGCATTTGGCTGAGCTACTGTGCAGTAACTCTGGTTGCTGTGCATTTATTTAGTACTTGATTATACAAGTACTGAATTAAATGTGCAATAACCACTGCACATTAATGAACATGTAGACACCCATTGAGTAAGCATTGTACTTCATAAGCATCCTATCTTAAAACGTACAAGGAGCTATTCCAGTAAGCTGCTGTTGAAAAAGGAGCAGCTGCTGTTATCCACATGTGTAGTTGGCACAGGCTTTCTTGAGGAGGTCTTCAGGATGCAAACCCAGATTCATTTTACTGATTGAATCCATTGCTCAGCCCACTCAGAATATGGAAAATGTTACATGTTTGTCTAATGCCTGAGTTGCCTACCATTAAGAGCCATTTCTACCAATATTAAACAAAGTTGACTTAAAAAGGCTGAAGAGAAAAAAAGAAAGGGGAAAACAGTCACAAAATCAGTCCTCACTTTCAAGACTACGATCTTCATGGTGGTGATTTTGATTTCGCTTATGACCATAAAATAAGTGTTAGCAACTTTAAACTATATGAAAAAACAAACTTCTGCTGGAAGCAGCAAATTATGAAGTGAGAAACAGCCTGTTCAACTGGAAAGCAACGTAGAATGCAATCCCAGTGATACAATCAAGGCTTGCTCTTTCATTGTGATTGGAAAGATTGTGCTCTCTTTGCACTCTACCTATAAGGGCAGAACTTATAACTCTTCTTGTCCTGAATGTGCAAAATGAAGTTGGCTGATAGGCTGAATGATTTGTTTAAAACCAGAGAGTAGACCGAAAACCTCCTCTTCAAGCATGCTTATTACTGTTTCATAATTTAAGATTAGAGAAGAAAGTGGCAGATGAGGAGTTGATTTGGTATTTTGATGAAAGGAAGATAAGTTGAGGATGACAAACCTGTAGATAAAATATTTGAAGCTGATGTTGGAAGATATAGCAGAAAGCAACATTCTTAGTATTGACTTGTTGCATTCGTAGTGTAGCTGTATTTAAAATGACCCTTTTTCCCCTTGGTATGTGTGTATTTCTGTTTTTAATTTAATTTCTTTTCTTTTTGTAACTGTAAGTAACTCAGTAACTCAGTTAAGTACCTTGTTTATTTATACTTGAGCAAGCTATCTAACCTGTTGTAAACTATACTTTATGTCGTTGTTGTTTTGATGAATCAACTTGCTGAATGATGATTGATTTTTAATATTTATTTGACTGGTCACTTGACCAGTTACCTTTTAGCCTGGTCAAATATCCGTCCTTTTTTGGCTAGCAATTAGATCTCATACACGAGTCAAAATTTTTGTTTTTTGCTATACACCTACATTTGTCATCTCTTCAATACATTGCAACTTTCAAATTACATAAAAGTCTCATTTCAAACCACACATTTGTAAGACAACAGCTTCTCATTAAAGGCTGTATCTACCCAGCTGATCCCGGTGCCAATGTAATTTTGAAAGAGAAATTTTTCAGCTAGGGTAGTGAAGAAGGAAATGTTTTTCCTCCATCACGTTGCTGCCTTTAGTAGTTTCTGGCAGTCAGCAGGATGCAATAAATGTAATTTAGCACATGGATACACATGGGGAGTATGCAAGTATTTAAAATTCTATCTTTAACAATTAAAATACAATAACATTTATGGACAAAGTAACGAGAATTTTTTCAAGAATTAAGTTAATTAGTAATGAGATGCCATTACCGTCATCACCTACCTTTTAATTCCTGGTATCACAACAAAGAAACTAACTTGCAATAGCATTACCCATGACAAAGTTTCATGAGGAGAAATCCTATATAACTTGCTGAATTTATCTTTAAAAGCTTTTTTATTTGCAAGAAGCATGACCAAAATGTGCTTGAATAAAACTTCTTATATTTAGTAATTCTTTAAATTGAAAATTTGCAAGTATAATTCAGGAAGGGGGTGTTGAATTTAGTGTCAGTGAGAAATGTAGCAGTGTTTGATTTGTCTATTTGAATTAGCTCTTTTAGAATTTAGGAGAACATCTGACATATTAATATAGCTGCAATTGAATAATTAGTGGCCTTTAGGGTCTTTATAAGAACATTTTAAATTATTATAAAATAAATTGCCTTGAAGTGGCACAAGTGTAGTTTCAGTAAAACTTTAACAATGAAATGAATGAGGAAAAATGAACCATTTCAAAACTTTATCCCAACCTGTGTCTAAAAATAATATTAAAATGTGGCTGGTAGGGAATAGCATGGCTTATTTCATGTCTTGTTTCAGTTCAGACTTCAGACACTTTTTAGACTGTTCTGTTTGTTCCTTCTCTGATGTTTATGGAGCAGTCCTGATTTTAACAAGGACCTAAATTCAGCTCAGCTGGTGTGTGTGTTTTTGTACACACGTGTACACATGCTTGCTTTTTTCTTTTTTTTTTAAGAAAGGGCGTGAACTGTTTTCCAGGACATTTCTCCTCATTCAACCTGTTTTTTAAAGGCAAAGACATAACAGGATATTGATTAGTTTTTAGTAACTTTCTAATATACTGTTACTCTTTTGAATAGGTGGTGAAGCTGAGAAAAGAAGTGAAGAGGGCCAGAGTCCTAACCATTCGCCGGCTAACAAGACACATTGGAAAGCTGAAGTTAAAAAAGTTAGTTTAATATTAAATATTACTTGATGTGTTTGAAATTAATTTAATTGACCTACATAAAAATAGGCAAAAACGATTCTCTCTAAAAGTAAACACACTAACTGTTTAAAATGATTATAAGTTGTGATTAAGTACTGATTAGAATGGGTCTGGACTTGCATTAGGCTTTATGAATACATGCAAACTATAAAGTAAGATATAACAAGTTTTATTTATTAATTATGTAAATATTTAACTTGATTTAGTATAGTCTAAAATAGTGCGAATCTAAAGGGAGACTTAGGATAGGATTTTTCAAATTGGTTAGTTATTTAGGAGCCCAAGTCCTGGTCTTGAACTCACTTAAACACTTTTGAAAATCACACCTTGGATTTTTAGATCACTGTATTGTTTAAAGTAAGTTGAAGCTGCTTTTCTTAGCACAGTGTCTTACAACTTTGTAGCAGAGTGACTTTCAGTAAGTGTAAATATGTATTAAACAGGCAACCCCGCTTAACCCTGTTCTGCTTAGTGCTATTTCACTATAACGCTCATTTTACATTGATACCCAATTCCAGTTAGCACTCAGCAAATTTTGTTATAGCATTTGGTGACATGCAGCCTTGTGCAATTTATTGCCAGTTTTGCCATCTTGGTTCGTCAAAAAAAATTGGTTTTACTTAACACTATTCCGCTTAACACTGTTTTTCAGAAACCAATTAAGAGCACTAAGTGGGGCTTGCCTGTATTTGGACTCTGAGGGATTTATCTTGTAATTAATCTTGTCTAGAATGCTAAGGGATAGATTTTTAAAGACTGCTGAATCAGAGCATAGTTTAGTTGACAGGACCTCAAGAGAGAATCTAGTTCAACCTCCTGCTTGGACAAGATCATTACAGTCAAGTGTCTGTTTAACTGGCTCTGCAAAATGTCCAAGGATGGAGATTTCGCGACCTCTCTCGATAGTCTATTTCAGTGCTTAACCACCCATAATGATAAAGTTCTTCCTAATATCTAAATTAAATTTTCCTTGTTGGAATATAAGAGCATTGTTCCTTATTCTGCCCTGTGCTGCCACAGAAAATAGTCTGTCTCATAAGTACAACATAGAAATTGCCGTTTACTGGGTCAGACGACAGGTCCATCTTGCCCAGTGTCCTAGGTCATACAGTGGCAGACACTGGATGCCGAAAGGGAGAGTGAACAGGGTATGACCACTCCACTGTACGAATTCCACTTGGAGCCTCCAAAATTTAAGGTCCAAGAAGTTCTCATTCAGATGCTATAGACCTAACACCCCTGCTCAATACCTACTACTGAAGCTTTCCTCCAAGAATTTGTCCAATCCTTTTTTGAATCTAACTAAATTGTCAGCTTCCGTAACATCTTGTGGCAGTGAGTTTCACACTTTAACAAAACTAACAAAAGGGAGGGTTTTTTTTCACACTGTGCATAATTAGTCTCCATTCTCTTTGTAACCTCCCTCCAGGTATTTTGAAGATGATTATGAAATCTTGCCTCAGTTTTCTCCTTCAGTCGAAATAATAAATCTTTCAGGGTTTTTCCCTCTGTCGTGGGTCCAGTGCTGGGGGAGCAAAGTCACCCCTTAACAGTTGCCTGAACCTGCCTTGCATGCCTGCTCAGGATCCCGGCCTGTTGTCTCACCTGCCATGCTTTGCTGTTATAATTGGGCAAGGAGGCTCCACTGGGGAAGTGGGGGGCGCATTGTTTCAGGTCTCAGCTCCTTGTCTGGACCAAAGCCTCCCTGGCCTTGGCCAACTGTAGTTGGGTCCCTCCACCTGAGGTCCACTGTCCCAGGACCCTAGGCTCCTGGGTCTCAGCTCAGTTCTTTGTGGGCTCTGGGCCCCTTGGCCTTGGTCTTACCCCTCAGGGGCTCTGGGAGTGCTCTTGGCACCCTTCTTTGTGGCCTCCTCTGCACCTACAGCCACAACCCACTCCTCTGGTATTTAAACACAAACAAAAAGATATGAGCATCTGCTCTCAAACAAAAGGTTCCCTAGTCCTGGGTCAACACCTTATTGTGTCAGTGAGGTATAACACAAGGCCCCAAAATACTTATCTTCTGCTGCCTGGTGATACAGAGGCTTCCTTATAGCTTCCCTGCAGTTTGGAGTCCTTCCTCAGCCAGTCAGGCCCCTTTTCCCCCCTGGAAGTCTGTTTCTTGCAGCCTGCAAGGCCAGACCCCGTCCCTTGCCTCAGGCCCTGGGCTTTATATGCCCCTCCCTGGGTCAGCTGACCCACTACTTCTGCCCCAGGACTGTCGATCACTGGCCGCACCTGGGGTGGGCAACCGTGTTATTAAAGGGCCTTCTGCCAGTATCAGTTTGTCCAGGAGGCTGGAACCAGCCAGCTGATCACTGGCTTCCTATCTCTTTAACTAATGGGGTAGGGGCTCTATTACATGCTCATAAATCACGTTCATAAATCATAGCCTCTGATTGTTTGTCACGCCAATCTGTCCACATCCTTCTTGATCTGTGGTACTCAAAACTAGACAGCACTCCAGGTGAGGCCTCACTGCCAGATAGGAGCAGAAGAATCTCTTCCCTTGATTTGGAAGTGATGCTGCTATTATTATAGCATGGTATACTATTGGCTTTTTTTGGAATGAGCATGCTATTGACTCATATTCAGCTAATGATTCACTGTAACCCCTAATTTCTTTGCTACCGTACTGCAGAAAAGCCAATCGTTGCTCAGTTTCTCTTGTGCATGCAGTTGTTCTATCCCAGCTCCATAAGCTTTTCAAAGAGAATAGCCAATAGTTCTGAAGTTATCTCAGCTAGTTCATTCAGTACTTCAGGGTGCGTCCTATTAAGCTTAGTTCTCTTTACATCATCTAGTTTCTCTTAAGTAATGTCTAACCTGTTCTTTTAGTACTCTGAGCTGCTTATCTCTTCTGACCTTGCTGTCAACTGCACTTGTCATCTTATTTGTAAAGTCTAAAGTAAAAAAATCGTTAAATACTTCAGCTTTCTCCATATCATCCATTACTCAGTTGTCTTCTCACTTCTCATGTACTTGTTAGAATCCTTGTTACATCTGAAACCATTCTTTGACCTTCTGATTAAAAAAAAAAAAAAAAAAATCCCTGCATGCTCATGTGATACTCTTATACTCTTCCCTAGTATTATGGCCCAGTTTCCACTTTTCATAGGATTCCTTTTGAGTTTCAACTCAGTGTAGAGCTGACTATTTAGTCTGTCTGGCCTCCTGGTGCACTTCCTGTTCCTTTTTCACATTGACTAGGAACAGAAGTTACATACAAACTGGTTTAAGTGATCAGAAACCAGTTTACACCTGTAACAGTACAGAAATTCAGTGCACATAAACCGGTTTCAAAGTGGCCAAAATTGGTTTAAGATGGACCTGGTTGAATGTAGTATCAGATTTAACTGATTTAGGTCAAACCGGTTTAAGGAACTTCTGTCCCAGACCCCTTCCTGGTTTAACTTACTTTGTAGTCTCTCAGCATCTCGAGATGCTTTGCAGCGCTGGGCTGGGCTGGGCTGGGCTGGGCTGGGCTGGGCTGTCTGCCTGCTCCACTGGAGCAGGGTTGGCCCCACCCCTCTGCTCCCCAGCCAGAGCACTATCACTGCTCTGGCTGGCTGAGAAGGTGTGGGGGTGTGAGTGAGAAACCCTGCTTGGGACTGCAGCCCCTGCCAAGCTTTTTCCCACTCGGGGACGGGGGATATAGCCAGACCCTGGACTGACTCCTGAGGCAAAGGAGGAGGAATGGAGGGGGATTTAATCCCCCCTCCCTCTGCTCTCCCACCAGTACAGGACCCCAGCTGGGGTTTCCCTGGCAGGGATGCAGCAGCCCTACCAGGCTTTTCCCCCATGCTCGCTACTTGAATAGTGGGGACAGAGACGGGGGGGGGGGGGGGGGGGGGACATGCCAGGCCCCTGAGTTGAAGGTTGGGGAGGGAGGGGAATTTAATCCTCTCTCCCTCCCCCCTCACACCAGTACAGGCCCCTAGCCAGGATCTACTTGGCAGGGGCGCAGCAGCCTCTGCCAGGCTTTTCCCCACTCGCCAGTCGAGCGGCGGGGTCAAGCCTGGCAGGGGCTGCTGAGCTGCTGGCCGGAAAACCCCGGAGCTGCTGTCAGGAAGACCCTGGCTGGGGTCCCGTGGCGGTGGGAGAGGGGAGGGAAGGAAGATTAACCCCCCCCCTCCCCTTTTTCATTGGTTTTTAGCCTCAGGTTTTAAAATATTGGAATGAAATAATTTTATTGTACATTTTGCAGAGGAAGACAATGTGAAAGTTTGGTATTTAATTTTCAGCTCTATCACAACAAGTTATTTTGGAGATATTCTTGAATTCTCCTCCACTTAAGATTGTATTATTTCCTGTATAAGAGAACTTATAACTTAATTATGGTCTGCTTTAAACAAATTTCACTCAGTTTACTGCAAGTTAGTGGTTCAGCCCATCAACTGTTCTATGGTTTGACTGAGCTGTTATCTAACTTGCCCATCTTAGCTTTCACCAGATGCTGCTTTTAAGTCAGCAATGCACAGAGAAGATGCTACAGAATCTTCTGATGTAGAAAAAAAAATTAAAACCTTACCAAAATGTTGCAGCCAGATCTTAAAACTTCTCTGTGTATTTCATGTCTTCTGACAGCTGAGAATTTCTTATGTGTTTGTGTCAGAGTTGTTCATGTTGAATTTTTATGTGCAACAAAGTGAATGTGAGAATAGCAATGATCATATGATCATTATGACTTTTAGTTTGGTGGAAATAGTAACTATATATTTCTGTTGGGGAAATAATTGTATATCCACATGTTATTCAGTTAAATAGCATGTTTTATCTACAGGGGTTCAGAAGATGTGGTATTAAAGAACCAAAGGCGAGCACAGAGGTTAATAGAAGAAATCCATGCTATGAAGGTAATATCATATATACACATTTAAAATTTAGTGTCTCTTACTTTAGTAACACAAACCTTTGCCCATTTTCTTGGAATATGGTGTGAAAAGATTTACCTGCAATCTTTCCTAGGGCAGTTTGGCTGTGTATATTACTGTAGTGGAACAACTAAGAATATTTGCATATTTCCATGTTTGTTTAATATATCTGTCAAGATCTTAGACTAATTTGAATGTAAGACTTGCCAAGCTAAACTTTGTATTTATTTAGAAATGCTCTGTGCCCAAAGTTTTTACTGTAAGAGTTACAAGTATAGGAATTCAAATACATATGCTGTTCAGGATTGTGGATGGCAGTTTTTTTTTTTTTGACATCATATTCTCCTTACTGCCAAATCTATAAATTTTTGCATGGTGCTGTATTTTACTTTCAGCTTTAAAGCCGTATAGTAGCTGTTGAAATTCAAGTTGCAGCAGACTGACTAGAAATATTGAATCATGCTTTATTACTTTTTCTCTTTAGCCATTCTTTAGCATAATGTTCATGTCTTTTCAGTTCTCTTACTCTGAAATCTCATTTTATTTCTAGGAGCTGTTTTAAAGCAAAAATTTAACACAGCATTTGTGCAGATGATTGTACAAATTTTCATGGAACCTTTCTAAATTATGAATATTGTCTTGAATTACAAATTCCTACTTTCAGGTTTGAGCATAAGATGTCAATGCCAAGAAATCTATATTTTCATTTTAGATTATCATTAAACTTCCATTTTGCTTAGGTCATTTATCACAATGTCTTTGTGGCTGTCCTTCCTAATCTCTCAAGAGTCTCTAGGCTTTATATAATGCCAGGCAAAAATACAATATTTTTTGGAGTTTAATTGGAGTTATTTTTTTTTATTTAATTGGAGTTAGCTAGATGTGTTCCCTGTAACTCGTAATTGATTCAAAACCAGACAGTCTTAACAGATAAACAAGAAACAGAAAACATACCCAGCCTCTCCCATATAAGCAACTGAATGTTTATATAGGGCAACATTATAAAATGGAACAGCAATCAAAGAATGTGTCAGGTGAGTCATTTCAGAAGAATCGCATGCTTTTGAGCCCACCACGCAATGTTTTTTCAATTCAAAGTACAGTTCAAATTCCTTCAGTCTTCAACCTTGGAGGGGAGTTGAAAACAGAATGTAAGTGTTACTTTGAAATGTAGGAACCATAAAAAAAACTTCCCATGGAACTGTCAGTTGGGGGGGCAGAAGAAATAGTGTCATGCAAGTCATGCAGAGGAATGCCCAAACACGGTGAGTCGTTTACAGTGACTAGATAGTGCAAAAAAAAGTTGTGAATTCCCCTAGACAGTTACTTAAAAATGCATTATTACACAGATTGGGAAGCTGATATTAGCCTGTATGCTATTTTTCCTGGAGTAGATGCTTGAAGTCTATGCCAGATGGTTCTCTGGCATTCATTAATAGTTCAGAAATAATAAACAGAGAAAAGCAATAAACATGGTCATATTTTAACTATGCTAGTTAAGCCATTGGCCATCTTGCTTTAGAGATTTTCCTGCCCTATCTATTGGAAGCTGTAAAACTGAAGCTGTGGAATCAGGTAATTTATTAAACTGATCTGATCAGTGATTTAATAGCTAATGCTTTTTGGTGAACACAAGCACTATAGACTCTGTAGTTTGATTATAGGGGATTTTAAATATATTTTTAAAAGTTAACTTGCAGTAATTGCATTTGATGTAGATTTTTGCATTTCTCTCTAAACAACCAGAGCAATCGTATAGCTGTGCGTGTAGGTAAAGGTTGTAATGTAATGGAGGCCCATCAACTGAGGGGCTCCAGGCCACAGGAGTTCACCACCTCCTGTCAGCAGTGGTAGCTCCTGCAGTGTTGGTAGCATTCCTGGTGCTGCTTCCCCCTTTAAGCATTATTGGCTGTGGGGCGTGCAGCCAGCGCTGCCCCTGCTATGAGCCCCAGTGGATGCAGGATTCATAGCTGAGAGCCAGTGGAAGGGGAGCCCAGGATCATATTCCTGGGCTCCCCCTGCACCAATGATAAGGCGCAATGGGATCTTATGTGCAATCCCAGTTGCGCCTCCTGCCCTGCATATGTGGCAAGGCAGGAGGCATGATTGTGTGGATCATGCATTAGATCTCATCATGCCTTTACCTACACATGTAGAGAGGCGTTTAGTATATTTCCATCCACCAGTCTGGACTAATACTTCCCACAACACTTACTGCTATTGTCTAGAAGGAAATGTGACCTGCAACAAAGTTTTATATAACTTTTTACTGTCTGTGGAGAGGATTGGATTTCTTATTTTTTTCCTTCACACTCAAAAGTATAGTTTGGCCTGGTAGGAACAATTATGGCCGTGATTTTCATTCAGGGTCATGCAGTGATCCACTTGGGTGCCCTGAAATCCTTCAGGGATACCATGGGATACCATACAATATTAAGACTGCTGGTGTACAGATGTGTTGCACAATATAAACCCAAAGGTTTCAAATAAGAATCCATAGTGTTAAAAACATTTTGACCTGTTGTAGTCTTCTTGACTACAAGCAGTTGACTTGCTCTGGATATGCCCTTTTTTTGTGTTCCTCCCAGAGAGTCAAGACCACTTTTTCTGCACTGAGCGTAAGCTGGTGTCTGCCTTGGAGGACAAGATTGAAAGCAGAGTTATCCATATTGAATTTTATCAAGAAAAGTGAAGATAACCTGGACAGGAGTTACGGAGAGGCTAAAGGGAAAAGAGAAGTGGTAGCATGCGACTACTAGAAGAAGGAGGGCCCCCAGAATTTAAGAGAAACAAATTGAAGTCAGCAAACACTTTAAAGTACTCTGTGATGGAACAGCTGAGGAAAAGGCAAAGGTAAGGACATCGGTAGACAGCCCGAGGACTCAGCAGTCTAGAGTGCAGGACTTGCAGGGCCCCAGGGATAGGGAATCTAAGGCCATTTCCCCAATAATGAAGAGAAGAGTGGTGATGGTTGGTGGCTCCCTTCTGTGCAGGACAGAAGCACCAATTTGTCATCTGAATTTGGGGTCCTGGAAGGTGTGCTGTCTGCCTGGAGCCCAAATTCAGGATGTCATGAAGACTACTAGAGCTCATCCATCCCTCAGGCCACTACCCTTTCTTGCTTATCTCTGGAAGTATCCATGGAACAGGAATGACACTGAGCAGATCAGAGATGACTGTGAGGCTCTTGGCACTAGGGTTAAAGAGCTTGGAGCCCAAGTGATGTTCTCATCAATCCTCCCTACAGAAGACAAGGACACAAGTTGGGACCATTGTATCATAGAAGTAAACATGTGGTTGAGATGGTGGTGCCAACATGAAGTTTTGGATTCTTTGACAATGGGCAGATGATCTGGGGTGGAGGACTTCTATCAAGAGAAGGGATCTATTGGAACAGAACTGGAAGGAGTATCTTTGGGCATCCTCTAGCCAATCTCATAAGGAGGGCTTTAAACTAGGTTCCATAGGGGATGGTGAACAACAACAACAGAGCAAAGAATCCAGAGGGGAGAGGACTGGAAGAAGCAGCTCAATGATAGTAAAGAACAAGAAAGCCACAGGACAGCAATGAGTGTGCAAAAGGGAAACAAGTAGGTCAAAATGCAAAATATGTTTGATGTATGTATACAAATGTGAAAAATCTGGGAAATAAGCTGGAAGTCGCAGCCTGTAAAAAGAACCATGATCTGATTGGTATCACAGGACCTGGTGGGACAGCTTTTATTACTAAAATATCAACACTGAGGACTATGCTCTGTTTGGAAGGACAAGGTTGGGAGAAAAGTTGATGGTATAGCCTTGCATGTGTTTTTGACATACGTTTGTTACCTGGTTTGGGAGGAATAAGATAGCTAATCAGAATATATTTGGGTGAAAGGTGAAAGATGTAGCACAAATATAATGGTGGGGATTTATTATAAATCACAAAGTCAGGGAGTGGAGGTGGATGAGACACTCTTCAAGGAGGTGACAAAATGATCCATCCAGAAGCTATGAGACTGGTACTGATGGGAGTCTTTAATTTTTCTGGACGTCTGCTGGAAGAACAGTATACCCAAAAACAAAATGTCAGGCCATTGTCAGTTCCTAACCTGTGCAGAGGACAGCTTTCTATTCCAGAAGGTTGAGCATATAACTGAGGGAATCATGTCCTGGATCTTGTCCTGACCAATAGAGAAGAACTGGTGGAGAATGTGAAGAAGATAGAAAATTTGGGAGGAAGTGATCACTGTATGATAGAATTCCAGTTCCTGAAATTGGAGAAGCATGAGGTCAGCAAACTAGGACACTAGATGTCAAAAAAGGCTGATTTCAACCAACTAAAGGAGTTAATAGGTGTGGTGCCATGAGAAGACGTACTGAAGGATAAATGTACCTAGGAGGGTTGGAAGCTTCTAAAGGGCACAGCATTGGGAACCCAACAGGAAACTCTTCTGATGGAAGTTCAAGAAAATAGTAAGAGACCAATGTGACTGCACAAAGGAGCTTCTGGGACATCTCAAATGCAAAAGGAAAGTATACAGGCAATGGAAAAGGGCAGGTAACAAGGAAACATACCAGCAAATAGCAAGAACAAAATCAGGAAGGCAAAGATAAAGTATGAGGTGCACTGGTGAGGTGGGTTCAGGAAGGCAAGAAGAGGTTCTATAAGTATGATATGGTCAAGAAAAGACCAAGAAAACTTTGGGTCCAAAAATAGGCTGCAACCAGAAGCCTAATAAAAAGTATTTGGATAAAGCAGAGGACAAGCTGAGGGATGAGATAGCAGAGACCATTGGAGAGCTTTTGATGCGTCTGAATGAATTCAAGTCAGCAGAGCCTGATGAACTTCATTCTACAGTATTGAAGAAGCTGGCAGAGAAGATCTCTGAGCACTTGGCAGTGCTATTCAGGAGCTTTTGAGAGATGAGTTGAAGCAGTAGAAGCCTGGAAACAAGTCAACATAGTGGCCCTCTTTGAGCAAATGCAAAAAGGAGGACCTG